CACACGTGGTGGGCTATTAATAATTAGCCGAAACTTTAAGTAATAATAATAATAATAGCTGTAAATGTAATAAACAGAATGTCACTTTCCGTACCACGAACAATACTTCGGAGTATTAATTTTGGACAATACCGAAAACGGTGGATCCGAAGTTTCCAATACGTTATTTATCTGTTTGCTCCTCGCGGTATACGTGAATTATAGCGAAATGAGCGTACCCGAGCCCAGGCAACATCGAAACAGAATTATCGTCAAACAGAAGAAGAAACATTTAAAATAAATACCTAAAGGAAATTAATTTTCACGGGATATGTAACTGATAGTAAAGACATGGAATTTTCAAAATTGTTCCGTGAAATTTGAATATCATTTCAACATCTCGGAAAAGAATGAGAGCCTTAAGAACATTTATGAATAAAAAGCTGCTCCCCAGGGTTGACAGATTACCCCTCATGCCGCCAACGAAAGAGTTTTAAATACGCAAGTTTAGCTCCTATCTAACAAAAGTTTTTCATTAAATTAAATGCATGAGTAAATGGTATACCTGTTTGTATAGCATGAAACGTAATCTGAAACACTCAAACAGCTTTATGCGATAATCTGGATCAGTGTTCAAACTGTTAAATGTTCTTTGTGCACCTTCCGCGCCTACAACATTCAACAACCTAATCCGCTCCGAGATTTCTTGTTCATTGTTTTTCTTGTGCACACCAAACATGCAACTCACATATACAGTTGTATGTCACAAGATTGCTTCTACCACTCTTGTAAAATACTACTCACTTGTGAGTAGCACGCAAAGAGATGCGATCAGCGGTTTCTTTTAAAGACCAAAAATTAACAAGACTCGTTGGAGCAAACTGTTGCTATTTGGTACGTTGAACACAAAAATGTGCATCTGCTAGTGGACCGTTGCATTACAGATCCTGTGTTTGCGGGAATTCTGCAAACTATGTTGAAAATGAGATATTTCGTTATATTGTGATGGAAGGCAGTTCAAAGAGAGTCCTGGCTAGCGACCGAAGCAAGAATGGGGCCCATCCGACCAGACGCACAGACGCAGAGGTGGGAAGTGCCTCGCGAG